TTTTTTCCCCTGTTATTACTCTTGTTTTCAAGGAAAAGTACCTCTGTGTCCTAGCAGAGGCTACCTGGCTCTGCTGGGCCTTACCCGTTAGATTTAACTCCCTCCACCATTGCTGTTAGCTCTCAGATCTCAGCTGCCTGCCCCCAAATTGAGGAAAAGCTATAGATCTGGGCACTGTGTCCCGAGTGTGATTTGCAAGTGTTTTGTTTGTATGTGCCGATTGTGTTTTTACTAAAAAAAACCTCAAACTTTTAAGTTAAGATTTGAGTAGGTGTTTTGGATATCAGTCTTGGAATTTGAGCTAATAGTTTTGTAATATATTATGTTTGAATTTGGCATGTTTGGACCCTGTCACAAGTTTGTAATTTTAACAAATGAGGGGTATTGTTCTGAGCTGACATTTTGCTCATTTTTCTTGTGTCAATAGAAGGCAAAGCACTCTGCCAGGACTTTTTTTTTTTTTCTTTCGAAAATATTTCTCCTTGCAGATATACTAACAGACTTGTTATGATAAGTTATGTTATGGTGGAGTGTAGTCCTGGAATTTAAAAAAACCAACCAACTAACAAAAAACCCAGGATACCTATTTCAAATGAATGTTCTTAAGATTTTAGCATAGACACTTGAAAAAATAGATACTTCTAAGATACAGCAAAAGTAAAACAAATATTTAATACAAATACAAAATACAAAAAATAGATTTTTTTTTCTTTATTAATCTTTTGGCAGATATCGTCAAATATTGGAAAAAGCCATTCAGCTCTCAGGTGTGGAACAACTTGAAGCTTTGAAAGCTTTTGTAGAAGCAAGTAAGTGTGTCTGCTATAATTAATCATGTGTCGATTGAACAAAGGTCTGGGCCTTTAGGATTCTGTATTTGTTAGGTCCACATGAGGCTATTAAAATGTATAATGTTTTAGTCATATCAAAACTTAAATACGATTAGAAGAAGAACCAGACATCAGCTTATTTGGAATTTAATGGAATACAGACTAGAGAATAATACAAATAAGTTAACTTTCAAGCCTCTCAACATGACAGTTTCTGAAGACAGATCAGAACACTGCCTAAAAATGTAAAAAAGTCTACACAGAATGTTAAAATGGATAGTGGATGCAAAACTATCTCCAAACAAAATTTAGATTAAGCATTTAGATTAGCCTGACGTCTCAGCAACCGAATAGTCATTCAGAATGAAATACCTTCCTAGGTAATAAAGCATAGCAAGAAATACACTAACATTTGCCAGAGGTTAAAATTCAGGTGTCAATGTGAGGAAAATTAAATTCACCTTAAGAAAGGCCTATACTTTAAATACAGGTTTAAGATTTAAAATACTTAAGATTAATATCAAAGCACATGACTGAATGGTTATAGACGAGTGCTACTGAAAGCACTGACATGTTTTTCTTCCATCTTGTATTTTTCTTCTGTGTATCTTTGAACCAGTGGTGAATGAGAATGTCAGTTTAGTCATCTCAAGACAGTTGCTGACAGATTTTTGTACCCATCTTCCAAGTCTTCCTGATAGCACGGCCAAAGAAATATACCACTTCACCTTGGAAAAGATACAGCCCAGAGTGATTTCATTTGAGGAGCAGGTAAGAGATTTTTTGACATCCTTCTGTTTTACAGGCTTGGCTCTGAATTTTGTTAAGTGCTAAATATTCTTAGTCTTTACAAGTATGTTCTGTCGAGGGTCACTCTCGCGCCAAGTGCCAGGGCCCTCCCCACAAGCTGGAGCAAACAACACCTCCACACAAAGTGAGGTCAACTCCCCCCTGCTGTTGTCTGCAGCAGAGCTTTATACCGGTGCAGGTGGGCATGCGCTGAG